ATGATTTTGTGGGTGGTTAGGTCCAGGCAGCGAAAGCCACGCTGGGCCTCTGGGTAGCCAATAAAAATACACCGTGCAGAACGTGGGGCTAGTTTGTGGTGGGCGGTAGCAGAAAGATTAGGGTAGCAAAGACAGCCGAATACACGAAGATGTGAATAGGATGGGGGGTGCGATAAAGAACTTCATGGGGGGTACGATTATTGAGAGTGGTGGTGGGAAGAATATTTAAGAGGTGAGTGGCCATGTGTAGGGCTTCTACCCAGAAGTGAGGAGGAAGGTTGGCTTGAAAGAGAAGGGTGCGGACAGTGTTGTTTATTGTGCGAATTGTGCGTTCTGCGCGGCCATTCTGTTGGCTTGTGTAGGGGCAGGAGAAGCGAAAAAGAATTCCTAGAGATTCAAAGAATGTGGTGAGAGGGTTATTTCTATATTCAGTGCCATTGTCACATTGAATAGATTTTATTGTTGTATTAAATTGATTCTTAACTAGAGCATGGAATTTTACAATGTGAGAGTAAGCATCAGATTTGTGATGGAGTGGGAAAATCCATAAGTAATGAGAAAAATCATCTAATAAGAACATATAAAATTTAAAACCAGTTACACTAGGAACGGGAGATTGCCATAAATCAGTGTGCATTAATTGAAATGGAAACGTTGAAATACGACTAGAAGACTGAAAGGGAAGGCGTACATGTTTGCCTAATTGACATGCATGACAGAAAAAATCTAATTTTGATTTAGAAAAACTAGCTAAAGAAGAGGACACGCCATGGAGAACAGCAGGGCTGGGGTGGCCAAGCCGTCGGTGCCAGGTGGAGAGATCGACTTGGGCCAAGTGGAGGTGTGCGTTGGAGGGCGCCTGGGAGATGGGGTAGAGAGGTCCGTCACTATTGGATCGATGAATCACGGCTCCCGTCAATTTGTCCTTTACAAAGAAACCACAAGAGTCAAATTCAATGGTGCAATTATTGTCACGAGCAAATTGACGAACAAAGATGAGATTATGGATGATATGTGGGGAGATTAAAACATTGTTTAAGGAGAGGGGAGGGGATGTGGGTAGGATGCCTTTACCAAAACCAGTAGTGCTCACTTTAGAACCATTACCAACAGTAATATGCGAAGGAGAATTAATGCTTGAAGTAAATACATGAGATAAAGTACCTGGGTCGGAAGTGATGTGATGTGACACTCCGGTGTCCATGAACCAAGTTGGTTGGGTGGGGGTGAGGGTGAGACTCTCAAGGCTATGGGCTAGGGCAGTGGGGTTGGGTGGGGCGGTGTAGGGGTACGGGTGGGCAGGGGCGTGGGCTGGGGGAGTGGGGTTCGGGTATGGGGGTTGCTGGGTTGGGTAGTGTGTAATTAGGTTTGGGTTTGGGTTAATTGGTTCGGATATTGGGTAGAATGGGTTGGTTGAATATGGGTTGGGTAAATATGGGCTTTGGTGAATATGGGCTTGGGCTAGTGGGTGGTGTGTGTTGGGCCGTGGCCCAAGTAGGCCAGGGTTAGGGGAGGGAATTGTCCAGGGGGGTAGCCCAAAGGTTGCCGGTGATTGCCGCCGCTGCCACGACCGCGACCCCTGCCGCGGTTGCCGCCTCCACTGTCAGCGCCGGAATTCCTGCCGCGTCTGCCGTAGCCGCCGCCATATCCGCCGTCAAATCCGCCGCTGCCACTGCTCCCAGACCTGCCGTAGCCGCCTCCCCGGTCTCGCTGGTATCCGCTGCCCGTATGTCCGCCGCTGCCGCCGGTGCTGAGGAGGCAGTGGTCGGCTCGCCGGCGCCATAGACGGCGTCGGTTTGTTGCTGTTCGACGAGGAGAAGGGCGGACCGAACTTCCAAGGTCGGGAGTGGATTTTGGCATTGCAAAAATTAAACTTGACTCCGGATGTTGTGAGGGAGGCCTTGAAGAGCCTGGAGTACAAGAGCATGTTCGGTGACAGGAGCATCCACGTCGTCTAGGTACTCGGAGAGATTCTTGAGAAGACGACAATATTCGTTGATGGAGAGTTGGCCCTTGACAGTTGCACGGAAACGATGCTCCAGTTGCATCGCCCGGGCGTGCTTGTTGTCGTGAAAAAGATTGTAAATCGCCGTCCATAGTGCATGAGCAGTGAGATTGTTGGCGAGCACAAGGTCGGAGACTTCATCCGTGATCGTAGCCAGGATCCATCCTTGAATTAAGGCATCAAATTGATACCATTCAGCATCATCTGCAGAGGAGGCACGGGTTGTGCCATCGATGTAGCCTTTGAGGTTGAAGCGGAGGATCAAGAGACGAAACAATCGACTCCACTTTTTGTAATTTGGTTCTGAGAGACTGAGTTGGACAGGAATATGGAGTTTAATGTTAGAGATTGTGGTGAAGGCAAGGTGGGGAGATTTGGTGGTGTGGTTATTGTCGGAGGTGACGGAGGATTTTTCGGCCATGGTTGCCGGCGAGAAGTGACTGCCGAAGAAGGGGAAGAGGGACGGCAGAGAGAGGGAGATCGCCGAGAGAGAGAGATGGCCGAGACAGAGGACTAGGGTTTGAGAGGGAGCCAAGAATTTTTAATGCTCTGATACCATGAAAAATGAATATTTTCACTTGAATTATTATGGGAGATTACATGTGTATATATACAGGAGTTTCCTAATGATAATAGGAAACAATATTAATTACACCCTATACAATTATGGAAGCTACCAATATACATAAGTATTAAATATAGTAAGAATATATTTAACAAGTACACTTTTGCTTTTACAGAATAGATTTTCATATATGAAACTATAAAGATACATAGTTGATAAAAACTTTATAAAAGATTTTATTAAACTACTAGGATACGAAATATTCAATCTAACGACATACACTCGGGGTCTCCAAATGCAGCCCTGAGAAATACTGCCTTTTGGGGATCATTCCCGCAGCCTTGGGCAATGGTTATATATACGTATACAATGAGCGGTGGTAGGGGTCTCCTACTGTTGCTCCGAAATACAAGTTGACAAGGATCTCAAGTTGTTTAAGCTTATGATTATATTCAAAAATTTTAATTTTGTATACTATATCAAATCATTTTTACAAATCAAGATTTTATAACAAATCACTTTTAAAGTTTTAGAAGTATTAAAAATACCGAATTGAGAGTAAAATACTACTTTGTATGTTTTGGGTAAAAATAACTTCATGTCATACAAAGAGTAATTTTTTAAAAAGAGGTTTTACAAATATAGTATATGAACGGGAAGTTTGTGCAATACAATTTTGTACATACCTCGAGTTCGAGAGAAAAGGTGAAACGGAATTCATGAAGTCTAATAAGGAATCGAAATTCTAGAGGTGCTACCGAGCTCTACCGAAGAACAACAAAATAGCAAAAACTGTCTCAATAACTTGACGAACTCTTGTTAATTGGCTTAAACATCTTCTTGTATTTTTTGGCAAAGGTTTAGTAGTGTATTAGGAGTAACATAAGTGAAATTTTTTGTGTCTATATAGGCTATAAACATAAAGAAAGTTGCTGCAATATTGAGAAGAAAAAATGGAGAAAAATGAATGACTTTGGGTGGTGTTTATAGGTAGAAGTCAAGGAAAGAATAAAAAATGATTATCTCATCTTGATCACAATATTGTTGAATGGTTTGAGAAGATTTTTATGTCACAAAATCATGATCATATCGCCAAAAATCAAGAGAAGTGTAAAACTCTTCAAATATGTCATGAATATCCACTAAAATATTTTAATAATACTTGATGATGTTTGGATTGAACTGGAGTAATTTAGTGTGTTAAAGCAACTAAAATGCCTCAAAAATAGCTTAGAAATAGATTTCAAAGAGTTTCAATAAAAAAATTGATTAGGGAAGAGTTTAGATTTTTTTTTGGAATGATAAAAATTGAAATCCGAAATGCTACTGTGCTATAGTTGCTTGTGAATGTCGGGTGTGGAAGAGAACAAAATTAACATTACGCACATCAGGGGGACTCAAACTCGGGTGAATGGATTCACTCTTAAATTTCAATTCTGCTCTGCTACAAAGCATCTCAAGGAAATAAATGATTTGTATTGTACTTATTCCATATTTTACATCTTTGGCCCAATTCTATTACCTGGCCCAATATTAAATTAAATTTGATCCAATTTCAAAGATTACTTCTAACAATTTGTTATAACAATATATTTTATATCATATTTTATATCTTGGATTCTAAACTTATTTTAAAATTTTTAATTTATCAAATTAATTTATTAAATTATTAGTTTTTAACTAGATACTTTCTTATTACTATTATCATTATCATCATTATTTTTTATTAAATCCTTCTATGTCCTATTTTGGGATGTTACGGGTTTGTTACACTAACTATAGGGAGATAGTATCAAGATAAAGAAGTATGATTTATACTGATTATTTTTGTGCTAAGATCCCTGGACCCAAATCATTTGAGCTTAAGGCTAACTACAAGATTCATTTCAGAGCTTCAACGAGTATATTCCGTCTATGATTAAGGGAAATTTGATAACAAGTGAAAGATCAAGACCAAAGACGTTCAAGACCTTTAGGTTGGGTAGTCTTTTAGGTCTTAGATTATTTTTAACGGATATGACATTACGAATGGCTCTTAGACTATCCTCGGTGATTCATCTTTGATCCCTAATTCTTTTCCCGTGGATCCATCTTCATTTTTAGTGTTAAAAATCAAGTTTTTGGCACACATTTGAATATTTAGTCTTGTACTTTTGAATGTATGACTATTCATTACTGGATAAGATTTGAAAACTGACATAAATTGTTAAAACCTACCTACATTATAATGTTTTGTTAAAACATTCGATCATTTGCAGTTTTCACTAGTTGTAACTATAGCACATATGAAACATTCGAATGTTTCAGATTTGGCAAAATACCTATTGGCAAAACACAAAATATGCATACTTCTGCCAAGTTTAGAAATATTGATTGGAGCAAAGAGAAAAATCTTGATTGATAAAATACTGCTCTTTATTTAATAGGTTCACATATAGCAATCCGTTTTTATCATCTCCTAGTGGAGATACTATTAAATATATAAGTCAAAGATAATAGTGTCATAAAGGATTGTGTGTAACATTAAATCTTTAATCTATAATGTTTTTAACCATGTGTGTGTGAACATTAGAATTTTTTTAAAAAAATTGGAAAATTAAAACTAATTTAGGAACCATAATATACACAATTTCATCCATGAGAGTGGGGGTATAAGTCGAGTAAAGTTTGTGCTTATAATCCGTAATTTCATAATTACAAGTTTGACTCATGAACTTACTAGGTACTCCAGATTATACAACTTTCATACATTTAATACAAGTAAATTACACATGTTTCTTCTTCGGTGCATGCTCTTCCGCCAATGTCTGAAAAAGACTGCCATCATAAACTCCTCTTATAGCTTCTTTGGACACAATACCATCCTTATCTCTGGCTACCAAATATAATACCTTCCACTCTGACAGTGCAAGAATCCTATATTTATGTACCAAAACTTTAATAAAATAAAAATATTCCCAAAAATAAGGTAAGAGATCTATATTTCCTGTGCACCCATTATACTCTACATGTCCCCAACTTATATAGTAGGACAGAACTCGTAAGAATTGAATGAGTTACTAATAACTTGTATTTGGAAAATCAAAGTGGAAGAAATTTTATATATATATATATATATATATATATATATATATATATATATATATATATATATATATATATATATATATATATATATATATATATATATAATGGCTAGGTTTCTAGAGCGAGAAACCCCCGGCGGGTTTATCCATCACCGCCACGCCAATGGGGATTATCACCGGCCAGATTTCAGGCATCATAGAGGATCCTACTCAGATTACTCTCTCCGGCATCTTGATTCTTACTCCAAGTCATACCAGAAAACCCGACTCGTCAAATATCAAGAAAACCAAATGGCATGCCACTACAACGGGAAATCAAAGCATCGCCGTCGAGACATTAGATGGCCGTTCAAATCTCCTAAGGTAAAACACTTGAAGAACTCATATATTCTTGCAGACCAGTGATTCGTTATACAGGGTCAGAGTGAAAAAGCTAGTTCATGGCCTAGCAAGAACATCCGTTTTAGATTCAGAATTCTTAATAAGGTATTTGAGCTTTTTTACTCGGTCTACAATAATACTTTTAGTATTACAGATAGGGGGAGAAGATACTTTCATATTTGGTTTGATCTAGATTCAATCAATTGGGTTCTAGAGACTCTTCCTAGATTAATTTTCGATTCTACTTGGGCTTGTGTTAAATTGGATGTTCAGAGAACACTAGAAGCTGCTATAGATTCTAATCATAGAGGGGCTTTTATACGAATTCTAGAATCTAGAAATGAAGGCAATATATTCATTCATATCCCCTGGGGAAAATTTAATGATGGGGCTCATTTGTTTTTCAAGGCTCTTTCAACCTTTGTTGAGAGAGGAGTGCATATTGGCAAGGACAGGGGGAATGGGGAAGCTACAGCAAAACCAAGTGATGTTAAAGTCCCTGAAATTGCTATTGTAGGAGAGACTGTGTTTGATGCTCAAAAATTTCCCTCTTTTGATGCTAAGGACAGTCTTGAACCTGATGCAAAGCAATTGCAATCAAGCTTACTTCTGAACACAAACGGTGGAGAGGCACCATTTGTAACATTTTCTGATTCCCATATTAACATCCTGCCTAGAACAGATCTATCACAGAAGGAGGTAGAATCAAATCAGATTGGAGATCATAATCTAGATAAACAAGAGTTTAGCCACGGTATATTGTCTGCTATGAATTCTTGCTTAACTATAACTGATGGGCTGGAAAGGAAAACTGCTCCAGAAGAGGCTTCCCAACGATATAATGTTCAATGCCCCCCACTACCAAGAGTGTATTTATCCCCATTTGCTGCTGAATTCATACCTTAATGCCCAACCCTTATGCCGCTCTTTTTAACGAAGTGGAAGGCCTCGGGAGTAGCAGCTCACTCAATGATGATGAATTCGACAAGATTGATGATGGGAACATGGTGCTCTGCAACAATGCATTAAATCCCAGTGGAATGGGAATATATTGAAGCTATTCTAGATCTACTGGAATTTAATGGAAGGTCTCAACATCTTCTAATGGCCAACTTGAAAGGTGCACATCTATCAATTTTGATCAAGGGAACACCTGCAGGTTTTTTCCCAATGAAAAGGGGTGTGAAACAAGATGACCCACTATCTCCTTTGTTATTCCTACTTAGTAGTGAGGGATTCTCTAGGATGATCAACTTTCACATGAAGAACCACTACCTAGGTTCTTTTAACACTGGGAACCTACCTATGGTAAGCCACCTAGCCTTTGCTGATGATTTGGTGGTTTTTGTCAATATTCAGAAGAATATTAGAAGACTACCAAAAAGGGTCAGTGCAGAAGGTAAACCTGAACAAGAGTTGATTTTACACTGGCAAAAAGGTGAGCCAAAGAAAAATATGCACTATGGAAAGGAACCTAGGGATGTCTCATGGGACTCTTCCTTTCATCTACCTTGGAGCTACCATGATCAAAGGGAAACTCAAACAACATCACTGTTCCAAACTACTAGCTCACTTTGATAAACACCTAAAGAGTTGGTATAGTAAAACCCTAAACCCTATGGGAAGACTAATTTTGATTAAACATGTGCTCTCATCAATACCTCTGCACATAATGGCTATTCACTGCATCCCAAAGTCCATCATGAATATGATGGAGAGGAAAATGACCAATTTCTTGTGGGGCAATAAACTAGGGAATTCTAAACATCACTGGAGTAAATGGAGCAAGTTATGTGCTCCAACAGAGGAAGGAGGGCAGGGAATCAGGAGTCTTGAGGATACCCAAGAAGCATATTCTATTAAACTTTGGTGGAAGGTTCAGACACATGAAACCCTATGGGCTAAATACATGAGAGGCGGGTATATGAAGCTGAATACCATCCAAGAGAGAATCCATGACTCACCAGTTTGGAAAAGGATATGCAGGGTGAATCTCACAGCCTCAACACAGACCAACCTAAATGGAGATCAGATTTTTTGGCAAGATGGTGAATTCACACTCAAGAAAGCATATAAAATATGCAGGGACAATAAGCCATCACAAATCACCTACTCATTTTGCTGGAATAAGAATCAGGTCCCTAAAGTAAAATTTTTCTTATAGAGAGCTATTAACTCCTATCTCTACCTTTTGCTATGGAACTTAAGAAATTAGGTTTTCAACTGGCCACCCAATGTCCCCTATGAAAGTGTAATGAAGAAACCAAAGATCATGTTCTCTTCCAATGTTCTTGGAGCCAAAGCATTTGGCAATTCTTCTCTCAAGCAGTGGATGGTCCTAACCCTAGAAATCATCTAAATTTCAATCAAAATATTATGGAATGGAACCTCTCTCACAGAAGATCATCCCTAAAAGGTCAATTGAGAAGTATTCTCACAGGGATAATATCTTGTCACATTTGGAAGCAATTTAACATAAGCAGATTTGAAAATGAAGCACCCAACTCGCAGAGAGTTAGAAAAGGAATATTCAACACTATACACACTTGGAGTTGGGGGAAGAGAAACAAAAGATGGATGGTTTTGGATGAAAGCCTTACTAACCTTGAATTCATGTTGTTTTTCGAGTCGGGAAGGAATCTACATCACAAGGAAGCTGAACAGCGAGGGATGCGGAGCAGATCAAGTAGGGCAGGTGAAGAAGACGAAGCTATTGAAAACCCTTGCTTAGTGTTTGGGAGAAGTATTAAGCAGGGTTTTTCCTTGAATTTTCCTTTTATTAGTTAGGATGTTTAATTAGTGTAGGATTTTGGGTTTCATCATCCTTTTGAATTTTGTTTTCTTTCGGGGCATTGGTGTAGTCCTCCTCGAACGTGTACTTCTCTATCTTCTTTTTAATAAAATTGGTAAGGCCAGCCTAGACCTTAACCCACCGATTTTGGCAGTAAAATTAAAGGATTTGTTCTTTTTTATGTTTGGTGTAATCTATTACTTTAGTTTAGTGAAGGGCTGTTAGACCCCACGTGGGCTCCACTAACATAGCAGATTTCGCTCCAAACTTCATAAATAATTCTAGTACACTCTTTACTATTTTTACTTTATTTCCTGTGTGTGTGCAGGTGATGAAGATGAATTATATAACACTCTATCCGACAACAGTTTCTGTGATGAATTTTACTCTTTTCATTTTTCTTACTCCAAATTACTTTGATAAACTTTGGCAATTTTTATACAAAAAAGGGAGAGAAGAAGATCAAAACTGCTTGAGTATTTATTTATTTTCTAAATTTTTTTAAATGAAGAGATTGTTAGTTCCATGAGTTCTCATTTTTTGTAACTCTAGTTGGAATTAGTATTTGACAAGCGAGCATGTCTTAGATGTTGTAGTTGTTCAACCATTTTGTGTTAGAGTAGAGTTGTAGCATCTTGTTTGTCATCCTGTTTATAAAGCACATGCTGTGTCACTTGGACAATCTTATGTCGTGAGGGAGTCCTACTTAGAGAAAAAGTCTTATAGCCCAAAAGTATTAGCTAGCCAATATTTATTTTATGAAAGCGTGTTACAATAAGAAGTTCCATGTGTGATGAAGTCTTTTCTTGTCTCATGCGCTTAACTTAATAAGATGGAGATGTGTTGGGCCTATCTATGAAAAGCCAAGATGTGCTAGAGTATTCTACGAAAATTCTTCAAGGTTTCTTATTCTCTATATAAGATGCGTCTAGCCACACTGATCAATGATCTGAAAATTAGAGAGAAAATTAGAGAGGCAGAAGAATTTACAAAAGATCATCACGTACACACTGAGAGAACTCAGACCATTATTTCACTTCTTTATGTCATCTTTTGAAGCTTAGTTTCACATAAAAACCTTGGACATGCATGGTGAACTAATCAATATCTTGTGATATTCATAGTCTTCAACCTGTCCAAAAATTGAATACTTTGTTGATCTAGAGAAGGGTTGCAAGTACGTCCTTAGAGAACATAACACAACATTGAAGAGGACTGAAATACGGTTTGAGTTAGAAGCCATACCTAAGGAAGATTTTGGTATAAACATTAGAGGATACATAACTTTGTTTGTGTTTGGTGTAGCTTCAATTACGTTGGTTTAGTGAAAGACTATTACACAAGCATGGGTCCCACAGACATAAGAGATTTTGCATTATAGAACTAGGGGTGGACACGGTACTGGTACGGTACCGTGACCGGAAACAGTACTGCCGGTACCCGCCACCATCACCGCCGGCCGAAACGTTCCACCGGCTCCGGGAACCGGTACCGGAACCGCCCCCTCAGGTACCGGTTCCGGTACCCATTTTTCGGTACTGGCACCGGCAGTTCTGGTTCCGGTTCCGGTACCGTTATTAAATTTTTTATTTTTATTTTTTTATTTCATTCTTTCCTTTGTCAATTTCATTTTTAGATTTTTTTATTTCATTCTTTCCTTTAACAATTGCACATTTAAAATTTTACACTTTAAAAATATAATAAAAAAGCAAAAAAAAAATTTATTAGGGGTGGCCGAAACCGGCCGGTCTAGTACCGGAACCGCCGGTCCGGGAACCGAAAACGGTACCGGCCGGTCCGGTACCGGTACCGGTACCAAGGGGTGGCGGTACCGGAACCGGCGGTTCTGGAACCGTAACCGTCCCAGAACCGTACCGTGTCCACCCCTATATAGAACATAAACACTTCTGGTGGACTCTATTATTTTTACTTTACTTTTTATGTGTGTGCATGTGATGGAGGTGATTATATAGCACTCTTTCCTTTAATTGTTTCTGCGACTAATGCTATAGAATCCTCTCAACAACTTATTTGATCAATCTGTTTGCATAGCTTAATTTAAATTGGTTATTCCCGCTACACTCTGTAATATTTCAATTACTCAATATATTATTATATACACTTGGTTTGTGATTTTCGGTATGAGATATTACCTCTTACTACACTGAAATACTAAACCGATTGTTCGGTTCACGTTTGGCTTGATTTTTACGGTATATTTACGTTGTCTTTTTTGGGTTGCTTTTTTGAGAAATTTTGAGATCGGTTTGATATTTGCTTACTCCTAATATATAAGCTAGATAAATTATCTTAGGTTCACGATACATATTCATATGGACACAGTAAGCAAATGCTTACTATTAAGATTAACATTTTCTTTTTTCAAAAATGAATAACTAAATGAACACATAAATGGTAAAAGTATAAGGTAATAGTCACTACACTAATACATAAGACACCTGTGTTGAGTCATATTAAAAGATTGAATATAATTAATTATTAGTTTCTTCTTTATTTTTTGATGTGGGAAACTCTAACACTCTCCCTCAACTAGAAAACTGAGCGATTTTTAATATAAGCATTGACAACATAGGAGTGAATGTTTAGATGGACACCATAACAAACGAGATGGGCCAAAACCTCCTCTGCTATTATGATATAAGTTAGGGTGTTGTAAGGGTCACTCGACTAGGTTATAAACACTTAGACTGAACCACATTAAAAGGTTAAATTAAATTGATTACTAGTTCAACGTAAGAGTTTATAAACCCATTATTTTCTTCTTTATTTTTTGATATGGGATATTCTAACATTCATAAAAGAATAAGTTCAAAATGCCTAAGAGCATCCATAATGGAGAAGCCAAAAAATTAAAATATTGAAGGTTTATATGTTTTCATAGTAAAATTTGATCCCTAATTCGGTATGCAATTATTTAGCTAATAACTAAAATAGCTTTTGCATAATCTATTTCTAAATGTCCGTTGTAGCAAATGCTAAAAATAAAGGAGTATTATAAAAAGGGAGAAAAACCAAAGTAGGACTAAAACATTGAAAATATACCAAAATAGGACTTCCATGTTTTTATTCCCAAAATAGGACTTACATTACCGAACATGGTCATATACATTACCAAAAAAGTATAGTAACGTGCACATGTACACTGTCACATTACCACAGTGCAAAGTCACATTACCACAGTGCAAAGTCCTATTTCGGAAAAAAAAAACATGAAAGTCCTATTTTGGTACTTTTCTCTATGTTTTAGTCCTATTTAGTGTGATTTCTATTACAAAAAACCAAAAACACCACGTTAGAATAGTACTACAAGTGGTGTTAGGGAGGTTGAAGTTCATCTTAATATAGATGATATGGTTGAAGTCGATGATAAAAATTGAATATTTATAACACTATTGGGAAGCTAAAATAACATTCAGCTTTCCAATTGGCAAAATGCAACGCCCTTGCTTGATGAATTTAGTATTCCTCCGTCTCAAAAAGAATGTTGTAGTTTACTATTCAAAATTCACGTGAACTTTTGTTTATTCTTATGTTTTCATCGATTACAAAATTCTTTTGTCACCTTTTATTTTGAAGAACATTTGACGTAGTTTTTAAATAAATAAATTTATTTTTGTTCCTATAACAATCTTTAACTAAAATTAATTGAAAAATTAAAATTTTGCTTCATTTTGTGTAATTTGACAAACATTTTTGGATAGAGAGAGTACGTGCTTTACATGGAAATAGAATTTTGGATCTTGTTCATGTCGTAACATGTCTAAGCAGGTTTTAATGTCATCAATGAGAAATTGATGTTTTATCTCGGGTACCATTTGTATCGCTCTTTTTCTTGGTACATTAATAGAACTTAGGTAGGGTTGTACATCGGTCCAAAGTCGGATTTGACTTAAGACCAAATTAAAATAAAATTTGGATTGAGGACCGGACCTATTGGTAATCGGTTTTGGACTGAACGAGGCCGAAATTGACTTGACCAAACCGTTTTAGACAGAACGAACTAAAATAGACAAAACATTCTCTGTCAATTTAAACCTAAAAGGAGTACAACTTCACATACCTCAGAATGGGCTAAGGGAGAAAGAATAAATGGGTTTGCACGCACTTTTACATCAATGTGGGTAACTGTATTTGTTGGGACCCCGCGTACCCTCACCTGAAGCCCAAAATTAGTATGATACTGTCCGCTCTGTGTCAAGCCATCACAGATTTATTTTTCGGTGCCTTTCAAAAGGCCTCATACTAACGGGGTTTGGTAACCATATATATTTAGGTCCATTTGTTCTTGCTCCTCCAATGTGGGAGGTGTTTTGCACCCCAACAAGGCTCCCCTCCAACCAAATACCACATAACTCGTGATCTCCCCTTTGGCAATTATTGGTTTGACCTACACACCTTCTTGCACCGCCTTTACACTCCTGTGAGGCACACCCCCGACATTCTCTTTTTAGAAAAAAATTAGACAAAAGGTGTACCATAGACCACCAATCATTTTAGGTCACAATATTTGATCTGCTGAATCATATTATACTGCCATTAATACCATAAGGGACATGCCGCCCGGCCACCACTTGTCAGGAAGACTTTGGACAAAAGGCATCGCATGTAGACCTTTAGTCATGTTGTTACACGAGGCACACCGTGGTCTCGACAAACAAAGTTCGGTACTCCTACGCACATGAACTTGGGCTCCAATACCACATGATGGGACTGTGTGTTCCTTCATCCCAATCTGGGAGTAGTATGATATTGTCCACTCTCGCCAAGACCTCACGGATTGTTTTTGGGTACGTATCAAAAGGCCTCATACTAATAGGGTTGGGTAACCATATATATCTAGGTATATTTATTCTTGTTCCTTTGTGGGAGGTGGTTTGCATCCCAACACTAGTCTCTTTTCAAGACCAATATTGTCTATTGTGATTTTAGTCCATCATTTCTATAAATATACTACTCCCTTCAAACCTAAAAAATTTTCCTCTTTCAATTTTCACTTTTCCTAAAAATATTCCCTTTTTCCGATATAGTTATTAGATAAACTTATTAACATAATGTATCCCTACGCCCTCCTTATTCTGATATTTTTTGAAACCCAACTCGTACCAATTATCGTCATTAACTCTAGGTAAAATGTGTACAACTTTCTCTCTCAAAAGTCAAAATATGATATGGTTTTAGGGATAGAGGAAATATTTGGTTCAAAATCTCGTGAGGCAACCTCATGAATTTACTATCGCGTGCTAGCCTCAAGAATTTACTATTTGACACAAATGAATCCAACTTAGCATTTAGGACTCATTTCATGAGTTTTTGAAAATGTGATATAGATTTTGATATATTAGATAAATAATATGAATTCTAAAATTTGAAATAAAAGTGTTCATGGTTTTTGGTGATAAACAAAAGTGGTTGGCAAGGGAGAATGAACAACATTAGGTGATAGCCCGTGGAAATGCTGCTGGTTGACCTTAAAGGGATATATCAAATCTGAAACTTGTTTTGACTTCACCAAATTAGGCACCAAAAAGAGTTTTGATAATTTGAGAATATCAAAACTCATATCTCTTTTTCTCACCAAACACATCTTTAAATTGTTGGAAATAGGTGTATCAAGGTGACACATTAGAGATTTTAACAAAAAATAAAAAGAAGAAGAAGCCTTGAATGACAGATGACTAAAATCATTTTAATAAATGATTTCTTTTGCCAAAGCGATGTCTGTGTGTGTGTCTTTATATATAATTATAAGGGTCCGTTTGGTATACGGAATTGACGGAATTGGAATTGAGATTCCATGGGATTCAATTCCATAGAATTGAATTCTGCTAATTCCAATTCATTTTTTGCACTATCAATTCCAAATTCACACAGTTTTTGTGCTACCAAACATCAGAATTGGAATTGAAGTCTTCAATTCCAATTCCATAGTTTGAATTCCATGTACCAAACGAGGCCTAAGAGTAAAATAACTTCAAGAATTCCAAATAAATTTGCGTGGGGGGAAAAAAACTTACCACCCTTTATAATCTTTTGGCTCTCTGTTTGCCTTAAGAAGTTCATCGAATTCTTTTGATGTCATACCATTTGCACTAGATCGGGCATGTTTCTTGAATATTTCCTCAAATTTTGATAAAACAAACCTTCAAAAAGAAAATTATATCAACACACACATTTAATAAAGTGAATCAACATATTGTTAGAGTGACACTTAAAGTTGTAAACAAGTCGATTTGAATATTCAAATATTCACTTCAATTTTTATAATTTTTAATGTATTAATTTTAGAAATCGCCCTAAATAGGACTAAAACATAGAGAAAAGTAATAAAATAAGACTTTCATCTTTTTTTCCCTAAATAGAACTTTACATTGTGGTAATGTGACTTTGCCCTGTTGTAATGTGGCAGTGTACACGTGCAAATTACTATATTTTTTGGTAATGTATATGACAATGTATGGTAATGTAAGTTCTATTTTGGGAATAAAAACATGAAAGTCCTATTTTGGTATATTTTTAATGTTTTAGTCCTACTTTGGTCTTTCTCCCTATTAATTTTCGTGGCCATTTACCATTTGAATATCAAATTCAATTCATATTTGATTTGCGTATTTTAATTTGAATTTGAATTAGTATACATCCATGCATAGTGACGCATGCATTTCACCCAAGTTGAATTTTTCCAATAAAGTATTACTATTAAAATAATGTATTTTAGTTATACTTTATGTGTTTAATATGTTGGAACATGTAAAAATATTAAATATAACTAGGTAATTAATATTATATTATATTATATTACTTTGGTTAAAATTTCAATTCAAAAAATATAACAATAACAACCCATACAAGTTGTATACTCTACGAAAGTATGGTATGGGGAAGTTGTGTTTATGCAGATATTATCCTACTTGAAAGTAAGAGACTATTTTCAAGATAGCATAGCTTGAGTAACACACATAGCATAATGAGCACCAAAAGTACAGAGCACGAAAAAAGAAGAAAAGAACACACTAATTTTAAAAAAAGAAAAACACAATAAGAAAAAAGTATCATGCATAAAAAGCATACAACGATAAGTGCAGAAACTACCACCAACTACTCCATTTCAAGCTCTCTGATCTAGACAACCCTATCTAAGTTTATATTCTCGGAAAAGGCAAGAAGTCTTAATTAGGTTCTATCTGAATACCTCCTTCCAATTCTTCTTAGGTATATCCATTTTTTCCAACTCCCGTCCACCATGGTAAGCATCACACATCTCCACACCAAGGCCTCAACACTCTACCGGCTCACATAACCCAACTAACTCAACCAAACTTTTGCAACTTAACCTCCACTGGTTCCACTCATATTCATCCTCTTATAACTTTGCTTTAATTTGAATCCTACATGAAGGAATTTTTTACGTTAAATGGACATTTAATTGACCATGTTTGGACATAACTATCAATAGGGTCCACTAACGATTTTTATCGTTAATTAATGGATGTAAGTTCTCTTAAATGAGATGAAGAATTTGATATATTATACATAAAAAATGGTTTACAGGTGCACGAGAAATTGACATTCAAAGTTGACCCATTAATCGAAGAGTATGAAAAGGTAAGCGTGCAAGTGCCATTTCTAGAACGTGTGTTCTACTACTTTTATGTAATGTTTTAAGTTAGTCCACTTTTACACAATTACGTAACCATTAATCTCTAACTTAAGGGGATGATTTTCAAAAAAATGTTGTGTAATTGACGTGTTAATGGTAATACATTTACACGCCACTAATATATTTGGGAACACTTACACTATGTTTGGTTCAAGGAATTTGGCAGGAAAAGAAAAGGAAGTTATTTTCTCTCAATTTCCTCACCAAAATGAGAGAAATTTCATTTTCCCTTCTCTTAGTATATTTTTTCTTCTCATTTTCTTTTCCTTCAACTTTTCCTTTCTTTTTCTCTCTAACTGAACAAGAAAACATATTTTCCACTTCATTTTCTTTCCTTTTCCCTTTCAAATTCCTTGAACAAAACATAGCTAGTGTTAATGTGCATACGGCACTATTACCTTAAGGATAAGGTTGATGACCCCGCTACCTTTCATGTCTGAAAAGTTATTTGATTTCTTGAATAATATAGAAAATCCACCTCCCTTTATGTATACAAAGGAGGGGTTACAATAATGGTAATTACAATAATAATAAATAATGATTTTTATACAATAAGGTAAGTTACCAAAGTTAATATAATCAATATTAAATATGGAATATTTAATATGCTCCCAACTATCCTGGGGAGGGACGAACTCCAAGGTTATGTCGGAAATCCGTGAAGAGGAGGGACGGTAGTGCTTTGGTGAAGATGTCTGCAAACTGGGATGATGACGAAACGTGTAAGACACACACATGTCCAAGGGCAACTTTGTTTCGAACAAAGTGAATATCAACTTCGACGTGCTTGGTGCGCTGGTTCTGAACCGGGTTTAAGGACAAGTAAACTGCACTAACGTTGTCACAAAAGATAATGGTGGTTTTGCGAAGGGGTTGGTGTAGCTCGAGCAGGAGATTTCGAATCCAAATGGCCTCGGCAACGACATTGGCAATGGCACGGTATTCTGCTTCAGCACTGGATCGGGATGTGGTGGACTGGCGTTTGGAAGACCAAGAGACTAGATTATCACCGAAGAATACACAGTAGCCAGATGTGGATCGTCGTGTGTCAGGGCAACCAGCCCAATTAGCATCAGAATATGCCTGAAGCGAGTCAGTAGAAGAACGGGAGAGAGTGATTCCATGAGTAGCTATACCATGTAAATAGCGTAGGACTCCCTTTAATGCAGTGAGGTGCGTGCTCCGTGGGCAGTGGAGATGGAGACAAAGCTGTTGGACTGCATAGGTAAGATCGGGTCGGGTGAAGGTGAGGTACTGAAGCGCCCCAACCGAGCGATACATAGAGGGGTCAGTGACGGCCTCTCCCGACTCGGCTGCGAGCTTCCCTTTGGTGTCGATCGGCGTAGAGATATATGGATTTGCGTGTGAGCATACCGGCACGTTCCAATATTTCATGAGCACAATGTGTTTGATTTAGGAAGAGGTCATTTTTAGTGCATTGAACATTGATGCCAAGAAAGAAATTAAGTTCCCCCATGTCCGTCATGGCAAACTCTCCTTTTAACCGTTGTGTGATCTGAGAGAGTAGGAGAGTGGATGAGGCCATGAGAACGATGTCATCAACATATAAAAGGAGATATGCCATATGAGTCCCTTGGGTGTAGACAAACAGGGAATATCAGCCTTGCAACCACGAAATCGGATCTGATGTAGAAAACCTGCAAAGCGTTGGCACCATGAACGTGGTACCTGTTTTAAACCATATAGAGCCTTTTTCAATTGCATACATTGTGAGGGCGGGATGGATCCTGAAACCCTGATGGTTGGATAGCATAAGCAATTTCCTGAAGATTTCCATTGAGAAACGCATTTTTGACATCCAGCTGATGGATGGGCCAGCCGTGAGCAAGAGCCAAACTGAGATCAATGTGAATGGTAGCCGGTTTAATAACCGGACTAAAAGTTTTTCCATGGTCAACGCCGAAATGCTGATTGAACCCTCGGACAACCCAACGAGCTTTGTACCTCGCTAGATCACCTGGGGGCCAAATTTGTGCCGAAACAGCCATTTTCCAAAGTGATATGCACATATTTTATACACTCTTTAGGCATATTTTGAAGGAGTATTGAGTCCCAATTGAATTTAATGTTTATATTTTATTTCAATTTTCCGTTTTATTTTGGAGAGCAGTCCTATGCTTGGTTTTATATGTTTTGCAGGTATTTTGAAGCCATTTGGACGCATTGAGAACAATTTCAAGAACGGAAAATAAACATGGAAGTTTGGGACCAAAATAAATTGAAGAGAATTGAAGAAAAAACGAAACAAATAAAGAATAAGGAAAAAAGGAGCAAGGATTCGAACTCAAGACTTGGGGCAGAGATTTGAAACTCTGACCATTGCACCACAACTGACTGTTCAGCATTTCAATGACAGAGCGCGAATAATATCTGTTTTAATATTCGGCTCATGAATTGGGAGAAAATAACAAAATAGGAGACGGTGAGAAGATTCGAACCCAGCATCACGCTGCCAACATCCAGCTGCGCTTCCATGTGAGCTACAGGAGATGTTTTGACCGATTATGCTACTGTTTGTATATATTCCGTATATACGATTTTATCTATAAAATCACATCTCCTCTCTTTTCTTAGGAGGTTGGAACCCTCATTTTCTTCCTTCTCTCTAGTCCGAAATTCTCCTCCTCCATCACTAATATCTCACCACTTTCTTCTTCCAAACACATAAAAATTACTCCATCTTCATCATCATCAACACCATCAATTTTAGTTGGAGCTCAAGAACACATCTTCCATTTTGTAAGATTTTTATTATTGTAATAAATATTTATTTGTTTAAGCTTCAAACTATGAACTTCTAAATTCCATTGGGGTTAGAAGTTGGTGTAATTAATTGTCCATCTTAATGTTTTGAATATTTTAAACATGGATTGTTGATTTTATTTTTACTTA